AGCTCTAGCCACCAGCCCGTCCAACAATTATGGCAATCAGCAGGTTTTTTGCAACATTTGAATAAACAAATGATTCTGCCTTTATAGTGATTCCAAGAATGACGTTGTGAGGATAGAAAAGTCCTTTCTATTTCCAACGGTCATATATCAACGGATAGAATAAGCACGTGTTGGATGACATCACTTTCTTGTCCTTTTCTTGCAACGGTAATATTCCATTTAACAGCTTGGACAAATTTGCTTCTGGCTTGGTTCTTCTGATGATGTTACAGATGAGTAGTTCAGAAACTACTTTGGTATAGATAGCATAGTAAACATCAGATTCTGACTTCAGCACTTTGTTCATCAGAGTTGATAGCAACAACTCATCTGATTGAACACGTCTTGTCTGGTGAAGCTTCATAATCTTTCTTCTTCAGAGTCTGGTCTTCAGAGTCTTTTGCACTTGGTCTTCAGAGCCTTCAGCCTTCAGAACTTCAAGTCATCAGAGTCTTCAGCACAAACTTCTTCAGATGATTATATCTTCAGAGTCTTGACCTTCAGAACATGTCTTCAGAATCTTCAGAGTCTTGACCTTCAGAACATGTCTTCAGAGTCTTCAGAGTTTTGTCCTTCAGAACATGTCTTCAGAGTCTTGACACACTTGGTCTTCAGAGCCTTCAGCCTTCAGAACTTCAAGTCATCAGATTCTTCAGCACTTCAGTTCTTTAGAGGGCTCACTCTTCAGAGACGCTCGTTAGCTTCCAGATCAGATGCATAACTCAGATCAGAATCCACAGATGCATTGCAACTGCAATATCCAGCATCCTTGATTCTTTATTGAACATGATCAGATGCAGAAACAAACTTGCTTCTTTACTGAGCTTCATTTGCTTTTAGATCAGATGCACTTCTTCAGATCATAAACCACAGGAGCATTGCAACTGCAATATACAGCATCCTTGGTTCCTTACTGATGGTGATCAGATACATAAGCAAACTAGCTTCTCCCAGGCGCTTCATGATGTCACACATAGTAATTCCATATATTACTAGCTGCACACGTTGCTTTTGTTTGTTTGGTCTAATATATTTAATTTAATATGACCTGCACATAACAAACATTAAACCATAAAATGGTTCTTTCACAAATACTCAATTGTTATCATCAAAACATAGAGATAATCCTGTAGAGACAAATCTTGCTCTTACAATATGTTACGTTACAACAATAACAATTGTCTCAACAACTTGATTCTTCTCAAGTTTTTTACGAATCTGATGAGGAACACGCTGAAGTTGATGCCATTGATGAAGAAGAAGAAGCAGCTGAAGTTATTGTTGACGACATGGTAAACAACGAGGAATAGGGGATTCCACCCAGTCATGTTTATTGCCCACCTCAACACATGACAAGTCTCGACTTAGGTGACTATGAACCCTCAATAGATATTTTTTACAATCCTAACTACGCAACAGAAATACTATTAAAAGAGGGCGACAACTTTCGTACAAAAGAAGATTGTGTCCGAGCAATTAAACAATATCACATGGACTTATCAGCAGATTATAGAGTCGATTGAACAAATCCAACTCTGTATAAGATCTATTGTCGTAACGAGGTGTGTCCATTTCGATTAACAACGTCTTTCCGGAAGAGAAGTGATTCATGGAAGATAGGGTCAATGGGTCCAGCTCACACTTGTATAATCACGAATCAGATGCAGGACCATCGCAAGCTCAGCTCTCAATTGATTTGTGATGAGATTATATCGGTTATTAGCGACAACCCTTCTTTGAAGGTGAGTACCATAATTTCGCATATGGTTCAAAGGTACAATTACACTCCTTCATACCGGAAAGCATGGATAGCTAGGACTAAAGTGGTTGAAAGGGTGTTTGGAAATTGGGAGGAGTCTTACAAAGAACTTCCAAAATTCTTGGTGGCTCTTAAATGATATTCTCCAAGGACTGTTGCCATATTGGAGACAATATCGGCGTATACACCAGATGGGACTTGCATTAGTGGAAATGGCATTTTTCACAGACTCTTATGGGCGTTTGAACCATGTATCAAAGGCTTTGCTTATTGTAAACCTATAATTCAAGTTAATGGCATATGGTTGTACGGGAAATATAAGGGCACGCTACTCATGGCTGTGGCACGGGAGGGGAGCAACAACATTTTTCCAATAGCCTTCGTTCTAATTGAAGGGGAGACTGCTGGGGGTTGGAGTTTTTTCCTAAAAAATCTCCGCTTTTATGTTTCTCCCCAACCTAACTTATGTTTGATCTCTGATAGACACCTATCAATCGAGAGTGCATACAAGAACCTTGATAACGGTTGGCAGGATCCTCCCCCGACCCATATGTATTGCATAAGACATATCATCCAAAATTTCATGCGGGAAATCAAAGATAAAACACTAAGGAAGAAGGTTGTGAACGCAAGATATGCACTAACAGAGCCCATATTCAAACACTACCATGACGAGATCAGACTGACAAACACAGATGCATTAAGATGGATTGATAATATTGATAAAGAGAAATGGACACGGGCATACGACAATGGGGTGCGATGGGGCCACATGACAACTAACCTCGTTGAATCAATGAATTCTATTTTTAAGGGAATCTGAAACCTACCGATAACTGCCTTGGTAAAGGCAACATATTTTAGGCTCGGGGTACTCTTTGATAACAGACATACAAAGTGGGGTTCAATATTACAATCTGGTCAGCTGTACAGTAATAGTTCAACAAAATTCATGAAAGACGAGGCTGCCAAAGCCAACACACATGTGGTCACAATCTTTGACCGTAATAAAGGTTGGTTCAGTGTTTCTGAGTCAATTGATCACAATGAAGGAAGGCCTATGGGATGTTACCGAGTGGAACTGGATAGGAGTTGGTGTGACTGTGGAAAGTTTCAGGCATTTCGTATGCCTTACTCTCATGTTATAGCAGCATGTTCGAAGGCGCACCAAGACCCAACCAACTATCTTTCTACTATTCACCAAGTGATAAGTCTACGCAATCTCTACACATGTAGCTTTTAAGTGGTGGCAAATGAGGACTATTGACCTCTATACGAAGGCGAAATTGTCTGGCATAATGAATTGATGCGAAGAAAGAAAAAGGGTCGCCCTAATAGCACGTGCATTTGAGCGGAGATGGATACAACAAACAAAATGGTCAGATTATGTAGTTCGTATCGACAACCAGGGCACAATCGTATAAAATGTCCCAATGTAGGATCAAGCACAAGATCATAGTTTCTAATGTAATCGTGTCCCTTTAAATCAACAGCAAATTTCATTCCATTTAAAGCATAGTTAAGCGATTACAATTAACAGGCAACATAAATTAAACAAACATAACTTAATATTACAACAATATTCTGAAAATAACAACAACAAACCAACATAAAACAAAACAATGCATCAAATTGTCTAGGATATCACAACCATCAACGTTATCTTCTTTGGTGTTAACATCATCACAAGGACACCAACATCATTTTCCACTTTTCTCCAATCACGAGTAACTCCATTTCTCCCAGACTCCTCAACCAACCTCTCAATTTTCCTAGCCAGCAGTTCAATTTCCTATACAAATGCTTCAAAGTCTGCATGTTCCACAGTAGCGCCTTCATCGGAGACTTTGTTGCTGAAAATAAATTAAGGCGTTTCTTTTCATTAGAGAAAATGTTGGAGACGGTTCCTCCGATGGTGATGACGATGACGATGAACGTTGATTTAGAAATGCAGACATTCTAAACTGAATTCAAAATTATGAAGACTCGAGTCTATTGGTAAAAATTGTTGTGAAAAACTATATGAGTGTGTAGTCTTATTTATAGAAACATAAAATAGTACGAACCACATATGATATGCCTTAAATACCCTTACAAAATTTATTATTTTTAAAATTTTTTTTTTTAACAAATATCAAATATAAAAAATTAACAATGTAGGGTTTAAACAAATATCAAAAATAAAAAATTTATAAATATCAAAAATATCAAATATCATGAATTATATTTATTATTTTTTAAAAATATCAAATATCAAATATTAATATAGTTTTTAAAACAAATATAAAAAATAAAAAATAAAAAATAAAAACAAAAAAAAATCATACATGAGATGTGCCATACCATATGGCGACTCAATGTAGGGCACCCATGAACACATACGCCATATGAAATGGCGAATCAGGTCTCAAAGACTTGAATAACCATTTCATACGGCAAATCCTCGTTCAAAACATTTCATTTTCGTAATTTATTTGAATTATTATTTTATTTAATAATTAAATTTAAAAAATGTTATATTAAAAAAAAATTGTCATCCTATAATAAATATTATCATTAGTATTACTTTATGGGAAATGCTAACCAGTGCCCTCAGGGCACTTTTTAAAATTTTAAATAGTAAGTTTTTATAAAAGTATGTGCACTGATGTGTAATAATGTGTATTGAAAATTGAAGTGTTTGAATTTTTAAAAAAATAATTTCTTAATATGGAATGTTTAAATAGTGCCCTGAGGGCACTGGTAGCAAGACCCTTATTTTATATGTATCATTAGTATTCTTAACCTACACTACACTTGTTTATTTTTAATGAAAATTCAATAAAGTCATTGAATGAAATAATAAATAACATTTAAAATTCAACGAGTTCATAAAGGGATAAACAATTCACAATAATAGAACTCTAAATAATCAACACCAATAAAGAGATAAATTTAACTTAACTAAAAAACCAAAATTTCTCCATAAGCCAGTGGCATTTAAACGAGTTCATCCACCAATCATATTCTAATAGGCCAATATCTCCACATTAATACAACGCGGAGTCGAAAACGGAGAGTGGGGTCCACACCACAAACGGCTACTTCTCTTCCATTATAAACCCTAACCAAATCCAAATCGAAAAACTACCCCTTTTCAAAATTTGAACTTGCCTCTCCCATTTTCTTCAATCCTCCAAATCCTGCTCAGAAAAATCCAACAATGGGTGGCGCTCACAGTCGCGACGAACTTCTCGACAGTTCCGATTCGGAGTACGAGGAAAGTGAAAACGAAGCAAGTTACGAAGATGCTAACGAAGGAAGTTCCGAGGGAAGAGTCAAAACTCCTTCATCAATCGATGACGTTGATGCCAAACTCAAAGCCCTCAAGCTCAAATACTCCACTAAAAATCCAAACCCTAACAATGTTAAGCTTTATCTCCATAACTCTGTTGACTCCAAATGGGAGATTTACGAGAAATTAACCACTTACTCGTTTGTTAAAACTTGTAGTGTTGAGGGGGATAGTGATGAGGATGAGGAAGATGATGATGGTGAAAAGGGTTTCTGGGTTTTGAAAGTTGGTTCTAAGATTAGGTCAAAGGTTGGGGCGGAAATGCAGTTGAAAACCCTAGTTGATCAGCGTCGTGTGGATTTTATTGCGAAGGGTGTTTGGGCTATGAGATTCTTCACGGAGCAGCATTATGAAGCCTTTTTGGTTCAGTTTCAGAATTGTACATTTGAGAATACGTATGGATTTGAGGCGATTGATGAGAATAAGCTTAAGGTTTATGGGAAGGATTTTATTGGGTGGGCGAATCCTGAAGCGGCGGATGATTCCATGTGGGAGGACGCTGATGATAGCTTCTCCAAGAGCCCTGCTTCAGCCACCCCGGTTCGGGCGAGTCAGGATTTGACAGAGGAGTTTGAGGAGGCGGCAAATGGTGGGATTCAAAGTCTGGCGCTTGGTGCTCTAGACAACAGTTTTCTTGTTGGCGAAAATGGTATTCAAGTTGTGAAGAATTTCGCACATGGCATTCACGGTAAAGGTGCTTTTGTGAATTTTGGTGGTGGTTCTGCATCTGCTTCGAAATTGGTGCAATCTACTCCCAAGAAAACGCTTCTCATGAAAGCTGAAACCAGCATGCTTCTGATGAGTCCATTGAATGAAAGTAAGCTGCGTTCAACTGGGCTTCATCAGTTTGATATTGAGACAGGGAAGGTTGTGACAGAATGGAAATTTGGTAAGGATGGTACTGAGATTACGATGAGAGATATCACAAATGATAGTAAAAGTTCTCAGTTAGATCCTTCTGGTTCAACTTTTCTCGGATTGGATGATAATAGGCTTTGTAGGTGGGATATGCGTGACCGTCATGGAATAGTTCAGGATCTTGCTGATTCTAACTCCAATATGAGTACACCTGTGTTGAATTGGGCACAAGGTCATCAATTCTCCAGGGGGACAAACTTTCAATGCTTTGCTACAACTGGTGATGGTTCTGTTGTTGTTGGCTCACTTGATGGGAAGATTCGGTTGTATTCAATTAACTCTATGAGGCAGGCGAAAACCGCATTTCCTGGACTTGGCTCTCCGGTTACTCATGTGGATGTTACTTTTGATGGAAAATGGATTGTGGGAACAACAGATACTTACTTGGTTGTTATCTGTACTCTCTTTACCGATAAAGATGGAAACAGTAAAACTGGTTTTGCTGGAAGAATGGGAAATAGGATTGCTGCTCCAAGGTTACTCAAGCTCAACCCTCTCGATTCGCATTTAGCTGGAGTCAATAATAAATTCCACAGTGCTCAGTTTTCCTGGGTAAGTTTTCCAGTTTGTTGATATAAATTTCCAGTTTCTTGTTTTATGTGTTTGATTACCTCAAATGTCATGTGGTTGTCAAAAGGGCAAAGTTGATACATTGAATCTAAATAGCATTGCATATATGGATAAATTTACTTGGCATTGCTTCCGATGATGAATTAAAATTTATATGGATACATTTACTTGGTATTGCTTCCGATGATGAATTAAAGTTTATGCTGATGCTTTTACCTAATAACTTTGCCTCTGTTTTCCGTAAGTTGCTGCATTACTCACTATTAATTTTTTTGCAAACTGAAGCATTGCCTTTGAAATTCGAATTGACTAGCAAAAAAAGTTATCATGCATTGATAAGAACTAGATCCGAAATTGCACTCACCTTCTTCTTCTAGGCAGAGACTCCCTAACAATTCTCTACCCACTAAACACACACTAAACCCTAACCCTACCATTGCATGATCGGTGAAGTTCTCTCAACCTGGCAACAGAAATCTTGGAGAGGCATAACAATTTCTTCACTCACAATTTTTATGCTTCTTTCGTTTTTCTTCATTCCCTTGCTTCAGACTTCTTGTTTACACCCATTGAATGGAAACTTTCTACATTGACATCTTATTTGACTGGTCTCCGTACTTTCTACTTGTAAGTGTTCTTCACTTGTGGTAAAAGTATAATCGGTACTAAAATAATCTTCAATATTTTTGGTTTTATATGTTTGTTGATGTTGGAAACAGGGATTGTGTAGATTTGTAGTTTGGCATGGTGTTTTTTTCCTGCAGTTTTGATATTCTTGTGTTTCTGCATCTACTTAAAAATGTCATTATTGGTTTTTTTGTTTCATCTTCCATATTCTTCTGGAAAGAAATTTTATTATAATTTGGACTTCTTGGTTACATAGGTGACAGAGAATGGGAGGCAGGAGCGTCACATAGTAGCGACAGTGGGGAAGTTTAGTGTGATATGGAACTTCCAACAAGTCAAGGATGGTTCTCATGAGTGCTACCGCAGCCAACAGGGTCTAAAGAGCTGCTACTGCTACAAGATAGTCCTCAGGGATGATTCCATTGTTGAGAGCCGATTCATGCACGACAAGTTTGCAGTCACTGATTCTCCTGAGGCTCCCTTGGTTATAGCCACACCAATGAAAGTTAGTTCGTTCAGCTTATCCAACAGGCGATAATAATTCTGGGCACAGCCATTGACGTAATTGTTAGCTATTATTGTAGCTTAATTTGTGACATTTCTGATGTTCCATTTTAAATCTTTTTGTTGTGCTCAGGATAATTGAAGTGTAGTTGATAAGGAACTCAAATCAACTAATTATGGTTGTCAAATTGTACTAAGTATATTTGTTTTTGTTTTAAAAGCTAATGCTTGTTGGTCCCAAAATTCTATTTTCTTTCTACTTGCGGGGTGGTAGGGACCTTCTCTATGCTTGTGCTTTTAAGATAACTTTATATGAATATGAACTTTAAAAGGTCTGCAAAAACTGAAATGTATGTGGAGGCTTTGGAAGCAGACGTTTATCATCCAACCATCTGACCTCATTGGATAAGTGGGCCACATATTTTTTTCTTAACTAAAACAACAATAATACATATGTGGTTGTGAAAGAGTAGCAATTTTGAACAATTGATTTGTCATCCTAGAATAGGAATTATCGGATAATTTGAGAAACAATGGTTGCACTTGCAGCAATAGCAAGAAGCTTCCATTTTCAGAAACATTCTTTAATCAATGTCAATTCCGTTGGTAAATCTTCAACAGCAGGACACTACTGGCTCAGGCCTGCTGCTGCAGGAACAGGACTTGCACCACGTTATAAGCAAATTTGTGCAGCAACACAACAGCGACCGACGTGGCTCCCTGGACTTGACCCTCCAACTTATCTTGATGGAACGTAAGTTCTTGCACCTCTCTGCATTTTGGTACCTAAAACTCATCTTATAATGCCAGTGCTGGTTTATCTTTTCAAGTAATAGAATAACATTAAAGGCAATGTTTTCAGTTTGGCTGGAGATTTTGGGTTTGACCCACTTGGGCTCGGAGAGGATCCTGAAAGCTTAAAGTGGTTTGTGCAAGCAGAATTGGTTCATTCTCGGTTTGCAATGCTCGGGGTCTTGGGAATTCTATTCACAGATGTGAGTCACACAACTCATAACGTAACTTATTTCATTTGATAATGTCAGTAAAAAAAGATTATATGAAGAGAAACTTGTTCCAGATGAACATTTCATTCTGAACTTGCTGTAAATCTGTGCAGCTACTTCGTGTCGCAGGAGTTAGTACCATACCAGTTTGGTTTGAAGCTGGTGCAGTAAAATATGAGTTTGCAAACACAGGGACGCTCGTCGCTGTTCAACTACTTTTGATGGGGTAGAATCTTGGTCACAGGCTTCCAACTTCTGCTTGCCGAGTTGAGGTTTTCATGTTTTCATTACCTTTATAGGATGTGTAATTTCTTCACTTTTATCACTTGCATACAGGTATGCTGAAACAAGAAGGTACATGGATTTTGTAAGTCCTGGATCTCAAGCTAAAGAGGGTTCCTTCTTTGGATTGGAAGCTTCACTGGAAGGCTTAGAGCCAGGGTATTTTCATTTTCAGCAGCAGTGCGCTCTCTCTCACGCGCACACACACTCACACTTTTGAATCTGATTCTGTACTTTCTTTCACTATTGTACACTAGTTGAGGTATATAATCACGTTTCAACAAACAGGTACCCTGGGGGTCCTCTGCTAAACCCTCTTGGTCTAGCTAAAGACAGTAAAAATGCTCATGGCTGGAAGCTTAAAGAGATCAAGAATGGTAACTTTTTCTCAGTTTTTTTCCCGCTGTGTCGGTTAATATATAATATTCCTTGTTTACATGGTTGTATATATTCTGGTTACAGGACGCCTTGCAATGGTGGCAATACTTGGCATCTTTGTACAAGCTTCAGTGACTCATGTTGGACCAATTGATAACCTCGTGGAGCATCTCTCCAATCCATGGCATAAAACTATTGTTCAGACCCTTGCAAGTTCTAGTTCTTAGTTCTGACACAAATACATGTACGAGTTATATGGAACTTGGATTGATCCATAAAACCATATTATTTCTTTTAGCTTTGGGGAAATGACTCAAATTCCGGTTCCTAAAATGTTTTCTCTTTCAAGATTTCGTTACAGTTCCTATATTAAATAAATATCAAACTCATTTAACAATTTTCCTACATCATAATACTTAGTTCACCTTGGATAAATTAAGTTTGTATGACATATTAGACTCATTACGCTTAATCACTCGGGCAACATTCTTACCATGCAATGCATAAGTTGATAAATTAATTATTTAAAAGGGACTCATGACTTTATTCTTTATGTGGGCATCAAAGGTCCACAATAATGAATCAACCAAAATAATGAATTCTTCCTAGTATCAATCAAAATAGAGTTTCAAATAAGCACACACCATGCCATTCAAAGTGTATTAAATCACAAACTTAACTTTTTTCTTTCATTCAATCGAATCTCAAAACAATCTTTACAGAAGCCGAGGTTCAGTATAACTGAAGACTATGCACAATATAAAGTCATCTTATTTTCTCTTATCCTGACACAATGAACTTCAAGTCCTCAAAAAACACTTAGCAGTCAACCATATACCATCCATCAAGTGAGATTATGATTCAATCAAAGCATACACAAAGCTATCACCATATATAGGCTCGACACAGCTTTGTGTAGTCCAGCATTTCAAGTCACTGAGATCTCCAACAGGATGAGAGGTGAGATATCTGCAACATAACAATGCATATAATTTCGATTTGTGATTACCCTGACTTGCTTGAATGTTTTTTTCTTCTAGCAAAGAACATCAAAACTCGTGGGAACATAGATTTCTTCTTTTTTCCATGCTTTGATTCCGGTGATGATTCACCTTCATCATTTTCTGCGTGCATATCAGCCTTTGGACTTGATGGGTTTCGGGACCGGTCAAAATTATTTGCTTCCTTACTCCCCTCAAAACTAGCTCTAGGGCTTTTGTTCTGGTCAACCATTCCTTGGCCAGACTCGCCAGCCTTTCTCCGTTGCTCATTTTCAGCCCTCCACTTTCTAAGTTCTTGTTCTACACCTAATTTACCTTCCTTTGCCTTCTCAGCTTTTTCCATTGCCATCTTCAAGGATTCCCTTCTAGCAGCTATCTCTCTATTTACTTCATCCAACTTCTCAAAGGATTTCAATTCGGAGTCCTTAGCTTTCTCAACATCAGAATTAGCAGCTGCAACCCTCATATTGGCTCGCTCTTCTGCCTCGTGAGCTCGTTTGCTAAGCTCATAGTACTCATCCAAAGAAAGTGTTACCCCACTGGAAGGGTCCACTTCATTTTTGCTTCTATTTGACTCACTCTCTTGCAATGCTTTAATTGCTGCTATTGCCAACTTTTCAGAAGCCTTTGCAGCCTCTATCTCCTTTTGAGCAGCAAGTAACCTGCTTTCCAAGGTACTTACTCCAGCCTTGGCCTGTTCTGCTTCTGCATTTACTTTCTGCAGTTCTTCACGAGCTGCTTGAGCAAGCAAGTTGGCCTGATTAGCCTCTTCAGCTGTTACTTGTAGCTTCTTTGGAAGTTCGGCCATTTGCTCTTTGGCTTCTTTCTCCTTCATCTGTACCAAAGCTATTTCTGATCTAGTCTTGTCCAACTCAGCTTCTAGAGACGCAACTGCAATGGAGGCCATTCCTTCTCTTTGCCTGATGGAGGCAAGAGTTGATTTTTCTTGTTCTAGTTCTGATTTTAAAGATGTAGCAGCTAGCTTCAAGCAAATAACCTCCGTATTTGCTTTATCTATGTTAAGTTTTACCTCCTCAAGTTCCTTTCTGGCTGATTCCACAGCTGCTTGTATTTCAGTGTGTGTCTTCTTTCCTGGTTCTTCTAGGCCTCCTTGTGAAAGCTCTTCATCACTTTCTTGCTTTAACTTTGATTCCATATAAACAGTTAATTTAGCTTTCAAATCAAGCAGCAAACCAGAGGCTGTTTCCAGTTTGGATTTGAGATCCTTTACAGACAACATTTGCCCATTGATTCTCTGGAGCTCCTCTTCTGCCTGTTTAAGTTCCTTTTCCCAATTGAGAGAATCTTGATCTCTTGCCATGACTGTTCCTATTCTATGTTCCTCTGCTTCCAAGTGTGCGGCATGAGCAGTCTCCAATGACTCTTTTGTGGCGATTAATTCAATAGTTAAATCTTCCACTGACTTCTCTACTTCCTTGGATGCTGTAACTGCCTCCTCGGCTTTCTTAATAGCTTCATCTCTATCAGTCACTAAGGAAGCATACTCCTTACGCAATGCGTCTAGCTCCTCTTTCACAGCTGCTAAATCTGAAATGGCTGCTGTATACCTAGCTTTAGCAACCTCAAGTTGTGCCTTGGCTGCAACACTAGATTCGTCTGCAATACCTTGCTCCATCTCTTCCACTCTAAGCTTTGCAAGTTCTGAGTCCTGTCTTGCCTGATGCTCCTCGGTTTGTGCCCTCTCTAGGTTTAGCTTTAACTCTTCTATAAGTCTTTTCGTGCTGTCCAGCTCCTTTAGTACTTGAACTTTTGTCTTTTCAGCCGCCTCTGCTTGTTTTTTGTATTCTGGGATCTCCTCATTTGCTTTATCAAGTTCCTGCTCAACTAGAGTGCGCCTCTGCGTATTCAGAGAAAAATTAAAAAAAAAAAGTTCACTACAATTCCAGCAGAAAATCATGCAAGGTCAAAGTAGAAATAACTTATTCTTCATGAAAGGAAGCACACAGAAAATAATGTTTTATTACATCAGAATTGAAAGCATCAATATTGGGTGGAAAGTATCTGTAATTAACTTCCTAATTGATTTCAGTCCAAAATGAATGTTTAAGCGAGGAGAAATCATACAGTTCATAAGCAAAAGAACTTTACCATGTTTAACACTCAAAACAGATCAGAGCATTATTAATTCCAACTTAATGTAATGCAACAGACATACGAGTACTAATATCCCAAAGTAACAGGTCTACATATCCCGATTTCATAGATTTGAGATATAGTATACACCTGCTACTAAAAAAAGTTAATAGAATAATACATGTTCTGTTGTGTAAGGACAGTTTGTATCTTAAAGATAAAAGTTAATAGAAAAAACGCGTACTGTTGTATAAAGAAAAGACAGTTTGTATCTTAAGATCTAGCATAAAAATGGCAGGATAATTAATTCTGATACATACACAGCTTATGTAAAGGCAACTCTGTTGATATGCTACATAAATTGCGTTGACAGAATCTACAGCAAATAACAGTGTCTCCTTTATGCTATATGTGTGCATGCCTCATAATGTGTGACTACCAATTAGCCCTATAATGTGACTTAGGTTGACAGATAATTTCACATAATTATTATCAACACACCAACATGCAAACAGCAACCAAAGCAATCCTCTTAACCTATCAGCATTGCAGTCGTAGCATAACTACAGCAATTACCACTGATAACCAAATTGATACTGAAGTGAAGACTATTTTATGATAGATATTGTATAAACTTTAAGAAGCAACCACAATAGTCAACATAATTCCCTCCTTGAAAAGCAATAAAAGCAATAAGGATTTGAAATTTTATGCAACAAATGTGAAGAATGTAAATTGAAAATAATGATCACACAAAATAATGAAGACAAATATACCTCCACAGTCTGGATTCTATGAGCCTTCCAATCCACAATTCCTCCAAATTTAGAAACAGCTTCCTTGACAGATTCAAAGGGAGGTGTGGTATCAATAAGGCCTCTTTTTACATTAACCGGCTTGGTTTGAGTGGGCGAGTCCACTGCTCCAACAGCCATCTTTACTTGATTGTGATCAATTAAAAAATCATTTGTTTCAGAAGAAGAAGCAGAAAGTCTAATCTCATTATCAGCAGCAGCATTCGTAACATCAACCTGCAATACATGCCTTTCAGAGATATCTTCTGTAGCACCTGGTTCAGAATCTTCAACCAACGTTACCTGACTGCTTCTTTCTGTTAGATCAACCTTATCATTTGGAACAGAAGCTGAATTAGCTACAGAAACATCCTCATCTGGTATAATAGTGTGACCATCAGAAGCATTCGGCAACACTGATAACTCAGGGGACTCATTCACTGTCATGTGAGAGCCAGAATTCACTTCTCCATTACTAAGTGGAATTGGAATTTCTGTGGAAGATTGATTATATGGTGGGTTTATCTCTACAGTATTTTCTTCAGAGGGCTCCGTAAGCGGTGCCTCAGTATTATTTGTAGAGGAATTAAAGAGTAGATTGTCTTCAACATGTTCTGTCACTGGTGTCTCTTCAGAAACTTTTGAAGAGGACTCAGAGGGTAGCTTGTCGTCAACATGTTCTTCCATATGTACCTCTTCAGAATTTTTTGAAGAAAATTCAGAGGGCAGCATGTCTTCAACATGTCCTGCCAGTGGTGTCTCTTCAGCAATTTTGGTAGAGGAGTCAGAGGGTAGCTTGTCTTCAACGTGCTCTTCTATATGTGTCTCTTCAGTAATTTTTGAAGAAGATTCAGAGGGCAACATGTCTTCAACTAGTTCTGCAAGTGGTGTCTCTTCAGCAATTTTGGTAGAGGAGTCAGAGGGTAGCTTGTCTTCTACGTGCTCTTCTATATGTGTCTCTTCAGTAATTTTTGAAGAAGATTCAGAGGGCAACATGTCTTCAACTAGTTCTGCAAGTGGTGTCTCTTCAGCAATTTTTGTAGAGGAGACAGAGGGTAGCTTGCTTTCAATGCGTTCTTCGTTATGTGTCTCTTCATTCATTTTTGAAGAAGCTTCAGCGGGTAACGGGTCTTCAACATGTCCTGCCAGTGGTGTCTCTTCAGCAATTTTTGTAGAGGAGTCTGAGGGTAACTTGTCTTGAACATCCTCCATTATAAGGAGGGGTCGGGAGTGCTTACAGCTGCTAAAACCTAAAGAACATTTAAGGATGAAAATCAGTTCAATACAAAAGCAAAATAAAGAGAATTACATCCAATTTGGACTTTTCAGTAATATGTT